ACGCTCTTCCGATCTCCCCAAAACCCCAAAACCCCATTTAGATGAAATAGATGTAGAAGATGCAAATGGTTGAAGATATTAAGATATAAATACAGTAGGATAAATATAAATAATAAAATACAATGAAAATTGCATGGTACTAATAGGATAGCTAAAAGGACTCTAGGAATACGATTCGATCTAAGTTAGCGAAAAAAAGTCTCTTATGTATGTTGATAACATTGTTTATTCTCATAATTAATGATTCTCAATCATAAGTTTGCCATAGCAGCTTTCCTTAATTATACAGTGTTAAGGAATCAGAAAGAACAATGATTTTTTCTGCTTTTGACAGTCATGAGCAATATGGATATTTCTTTTTCCTAACAAAAAGCAAGAATGAACTCGAGATTCTTATTCTATATAATGGTGGCAGAGAATAAAATTCAATTCTATTGTAAGAATGGTATTCAGATGATATATATGATGTCGCATTTTCATACGATGGGAAAAATATTATTTTTGGAGGAGATGTGCTTAGTGGAATATAAATTTTCAATAGGCTTCATTGGTATGATTTCTCTTACATAATTGATATCGATCGTTCTGGGTAACAACCATAAATCATACCTATCAGTGTTTTAAAAAGTAAATTCTAAATAAATTTTATGGTTATTTAAAATGGTATGGTGTATTTATGTTAGGCGATTAGCCCTTCTTGGACTAGTCTCAGATCACTATTTGTGAGATAAGTGGTAAAGGAATATGATTTTAATCATTTAATATTCTTTGGTTAGAATGGTAATGCTGAGCCAACAGTATATTACTGGGCATAACCTCTAATGAATGATGGGACATTTAATATATTAAGAATGAAAATTTCCCTCAACGAGCCTGATCGTGGATTTAAACTACTAAGTTCTTAGTTTTTTGCTTCATAAAATAATTACATTGCAAGTATGTATGTAGTTAATATTACTACTAACTAGAATGAAATTTGTATGTGTATGAATTATGAAAGTCATATTATCACTTAAAAAACATATTCTCTCATAGTTCTAATAAGAGATTATGACAATTATATTTCTTAATGGGAATATAAAAGTTCTTTTGATATTTACTGCGATAATATTATGTATTCTAGAGATTCATTAACTATATTTGGAGTATTTCAAAATTATGATAGAGATAATTTTTTTACTCATTTGAGTACACTTTAAATTAGTTTAAATAACAATCTAATTGCTAGAGAAGGGGTATTATTAAACTCAAATTTTTTGCCAAAATTTTAATTTTAAAATAGCATTATAAATGGTTTTCGTCATTCTGTGAGCATAATAAATGTTGATAACTTTTTGGGAGGCTTCCTAATAGAACAATATGATTAAGATGCCTCTTATAAAAATAAAATATTGCTGGTAGCATATCCTACATATTTTTGCAATTTTTTTAGTTTTTCTTATCTAGATTATTCAATACCTGCTATTACCACAGATATTTAAGATCAAGGTGAAATATAGATATAACTTGATTATGTTTTTACAGTAAGAGACAGATTTAACCTTAAAATATCAACTAAAAATTACAAAGATTAAGTATAATTATACAAAGATATAATATAGAACGATCCTATTTGTCCTTAGTATAATAAACCAATAATCATTAAACCTCTAATTCCAGATGCATTTTATCATTATATGGATAATCAGTATAGAGAATTATAAATAAATGAATGGTTCTAAATTTCTAATTGTAACACATTTTAATTTTAATACCGAGTAGCCTACAATGATAATTAAGCTGTTTATAATTAACTCATATATTATTTCTATTACAAGAACACAATCGGTTTAACAGAGGTTAAGGAGTCTCAAAGAAATACTTATTTAGGAACAGCTTATTACACGTATAGTGCTTATTTGTAAGATGGAACTGGCAACAGTTAAATGGTGACAATTATTTTTAATGATAATCCAGGAAGCTAATAATTTAATAAAAATATAATATAAACTCCTCCTTATTTCATATCTGATCCCTAAAATATGACAGTTTTTGAAGAGTAAATTCTAATTTACAAATTACCACGAATCTATGATGATTAAGGCGATAAATACAAACTTAATTACTACTTTCCCAAAGAATGGCTAGATCTTTATTCTATTTAAAATGAACAATTTACTATCTTTCTTCACAACGTCCCAATAAAGATCTATAATATGACAATAGAGCTTTAGGAGAAAACTGTTTATAACTTAACTTCACAATATAACCTCACCATAAATGTTAAATAAATAAATAACACCTAGATTTTTGATAGTGTTGTCATTATAGAAAATCAAGTTAAGTCTCAAGAAAATTAGACATAAATTACTACAGATAATACCACAGATTCATTAAGAGCCAAGATTACCTCTATAGATTCTAAAGGAAATGTTATAATTCTGTTTAATTACCTCATTTATCCAATAGAATCCTCAAAAATTAAAGAGTTAAATAAGTTTGTTGTCCCTATATTGGTTCAGAGGGAGGGTTCATAACCAAATAAAATTTTGAACTACTAGATAAACTCATTAAGTGGAAAATATATGGTGATTCAACTAAAATTCCTTTATCCATTAAAGATCTCGCTTACAGGCTTTACAGACTATATTTATATAAGATTTACTGATCAAAAATAATACATAAAAGCAATATAAAATGAGAAATTTATCATACCATATGGCTATATTTCAGAATAATTTTAATTACCAAATTAGGAGTAAACTCAACTCAATGGCATATTTGAAGATCTTTAAAACTATATGTTCTACACAATTTCAAGTATGTATGGAATAAATACAATTGCAGTAATAATTTTCGATACTTCTTTATAATAATTTTGGTCTTTAGTAAACATTCTATAGCTAATCACATATCTACCCTTGCTTAATTATAATTTGCCTTTCAATCTTGCTATATTTTTTAATAGTATTTCCTAAGCAATTAACCTGCAGTTAATTGATATCAGTTATCTCAAGGATAAACTCAATTATTAAAAAGATAAGTTATATGAGGAAGAAATGAATTATGGACTAAATTTTTTGCTTTTAGGTTTTACATCTTTCGATATTTATGAAAATATGGGCACAGAAATAATCCTATTTATTCTGAATTTTGCAATATTTCTTATAATTTTGTTATTACAAAGCCTTAATAAATTACAATTTTTCTAAAGAATCAACTCTTATTTAAAGAAAAAATTCATATTTGATTTTGTTATTAGGTTGATTTTAGAATTATACCTTTATTATTTGATAATTGGATCCCTTTAATTATACCAATTTATTTTTTATAAAGATATGGCAAGGAAAATTAGCATTTATATTTTATTTTGCACTTTTAGCATTTTAATAGTTTTTCCCTTATTTAATCTTATCATTATCTTTGGATTAAAAAATAAAGATTCTTTGTTAACTTATTTTTCATCATTGGTAGATGATTTAAACGATAACAGCATTTATTGTTATTTATAGAGAATATTTTTCATGCTTAGAAGAGCATTTTTTTGCTTTTCTATTTTTATTCTACTCTTAAATATTTTTCTTATTTATCATTATGAGAGTTTAAACTATCATACTTATTCTTTTTTACCTTTTCTGAGGTAATTATTTTCTTCATATTTGAGATCATTTATCCTTGTCCACTCATTGAGCTCATTATACTTTTACCAGCATGTATTTAGCTTTTCATTGATACTGATTGCATTGATTCATTACCAAGAATTAACCCGTCAGATATTAAGCTTTTACCAATCGATGTTAGTTTTTGAATGTTATTTTCTTCTTCTGGCTTAAGTTCAGTACCATATTTTTAAACTTATCTTCTTCTTCTTTTTTCTTTTGAAGACTTATCAGACTTAAAGAAATCATTTTCGTCAATTAAATGAGAATTAGACTTCTTAATTATTGCTGATCTAACTTTTAGATTAATATCATTTTTCTCATTATCATTTTTACAAAGCAATGAATTCTCATTAGCCTTACTTTTTCTAATTTTCTAAGATTTGTAATTTTTGCAGACCTTCTAAAGATCTAATTCTAATACTTTTGAAGACACACTGTCAGCTTAAAACCTGGTTATTTTGTCAAAGTCATAATCAATAATACTCAAATCTCCTTTTGTGGTTTATCTATAAGTTTCTTCTTAGTCCATTAGTATTTTAGATAGTACTAATGGCGCCATCATTTTGGTTATCCTTTGAAAAAAGTCATGCTTAACATTGGTAAAAATACAATACAAGCATAGAGCAATGAACCATACATTTGCTAAGACTATCAATATAAACACAATAAGTTGAATAGTTTCAGATATTACATCACTTATAAAAAATAATGCCCCAAAAAATGTTACTATTAGAATCTACATTTCTCTCTCTTCTAGATTATTGTATAATGGATTTTTGTAAGGCTTAAGTCTTTTTTGAATTCTTTTAAATCCTGTTAAAACTAGCAGACTTAAAAGTGCCTTGAATGTGTTTGAATACAAATTTAAAAAGACATTTATGCATACAAGGAAAATTTTCCTCAAAATATTTGCAAATTCCCAGTAGTAGTACTCAGACTTAAGTCCTTGATAAAGCATTCTATATTTACCAAAAAACTCTTCTTATTAAAGCTTATTTTTATTCTTTCTTAAATAGATAAAAGTGAAGAGAGGAGCTCCTATTATCCATACTATAAGAGAGATTAAGCCTAATCCTAGACACCATGATAGATGTGGTCCAGTCCAACATCGTATTTCTAAATCAGCTTAAAGCCAATATTCCCCTCTGTCTAATTCCATGCAGAAATACAAGCTGCTACTCATTCTGGTAAGAGTTGGGTGCAATGAATATAAAACAACTATTGAAGACACCACTACTTGCTTAAAAAATGTCTGTAAACTTAATTTTTTCAAAAGCTTTATTACTAAAAGAATAATTACCAAAGCGATAATCATCAATATAGGTAGTATGATTATAGCGAATACTTTATAATAGTAAGATGATTCATCCTTTCCCGTAAATCCTGCCTCTTTTAAAAAGCAATCGAATGAAATGTAGCTTTCAGTTAATTCACCAACAGATGAAAATACTCCAAAGAATTGACTAAGTTAGTATGGCCATTATAAGTTAAATGCTGCAGTAGATGTAAGAATCTAAATATAATTTAGAATAATTCTTAAAATTATGCTTGTATCACTTTCTTTTTGATTTTTTAGATTATACCATAACAGTATTATAAATCCTGCGAGTAATGCAAGAAATATTCCAGAAATTATGAAAAAATTGGTGTATTTTGATGGACATAAGCCACATTCTATTTTAGATATTTTAGTATATTAGAGACCTTCAAAATTCATACAAGAATTGCAAAGATTTCCACCATATCCATTGGCACAGAATTATATTTTAGGATCTAGATCAATTTTGTATTCTCCTCCAATACATGCTTATTTATTGATACATTCAATTATATTATCTGATGAGTTTGATGATCTCCAGTAGCCTTATTTTATTTCCAAAGATTTTCCTCCATGACATTCAGTATTTTTGGGACATTCAAGGCATTAATTGATAGATTAGACAATAGAATAATACCCAGGGCTGCATGCTACACATCTAAATTTGTTAAAATAATTTTATTTACTATTCGTTCTAATTTATTTCACCTTCAATGCAATTTCTAAAGTCAAAATAGATGAAATCTTGATTAATTTCGCTTAAGTTAAAGCCAGGCGTACCATCAAAAGCTTTTTGAATATAATCTGTGTTGGTATTGGTTGATTGTATAAGAAATTGAACATTTTTTTGGCCTGGAGTCGCTTAAAATTACAAATCCTTAAAAGTAGCGATTCCATTTATGGCTTATACTTGAGATTGCCCGTTAACTTTAGAAAGTTCATCAGCATTCGTGATCCTAATATTACTAAATGATATTTAAAAGAAACAATTTTTACGATGTACTATCAGTCTTTATAATATTAGAATCAGCATCAATAATTGCAACAAGAATAGTTCCAATATACAACTGTCCACTAGCCAAAGGATATTTTTCATAAGATAGGACTTTTACATCATATGGATATCCAGCAATTTTACTCCCATATTAAGCTTAATTAAGCTCATCATAATAATTTTCTTAAATGACAACAGGTCTATTTTTGTTGTATGTAATGGCACCACCTTTTTCACTAGCAACATTAGATAAAAATCTGTTATTATCAACTTAAAAGCTGCAGTTATGTGCTATTATATATATATAAACTAAACAAATTTACATTAAGAACATTATAAGGCTAAAGCTCCTCCTTATGTAGCCTAGTTTTCAGTGAAATTAGAATCTCTTAAAGTTAAGATTGAATTAGATGCAAGTATGGCGCCTCCATTCTCATTTATAAGACCTCTTGAAAAGGAAGAATTAATAATACTACTAACACTAGATTGTATATATAATATTCTGTTGTCTCTGTAATTTCCTTTTAATAGATCGGTTATCAAATTAAAATCTTAAAGATTTGCCACAAACTCTGAGCTAATAATCTTAGTATTAGAACTAACAATTGAAAAAAGATTTGTATTGAAATTTTAGAACTGAGATTTGACAATATTTACTTATTAGCTTCTCACTATATCAATCAGCATTTGTCCCTGACTTTCAAAATTAATAACTGATGAATTGAAGAGTGTTAAAGTTGCACTATCAATTTTTAAAAATCTGTCTTATTAATGAAAATAGCTCATGTCAGAAAATAATGAATTTTGAATTAAAATATCAGTGCTCACACAGTTGATAAACATAATAGACGTTTAAGCTATAAAAGATTTATCAATTAGAACACTTGATTTAAGGTTGGATTCAATAAGATACTATTTGTGGTTGGCCTATGGTTCAGAATATTTGAAATTTGTAAAAGTGCTATTAGTTATATTTAAAACGCTCTGAGATACACTTATAAAGGATCTGTCAGCAGATTCAATAGTGTAATTTATAAAATACGTATTGAAAACTTCAATGCTAGATATAAAAGAGACAATAAAATTCCTAAAATTATAGATGATTATTATTTATTATTCTTACTTAGTGTTTTCTATAATAGAGTTAGATATTATGAGATTTGACTTGCTGATTGTGATTTAAACTTCATCCAACTTATATTTCTATAGTAACTAGATTCTTTCATTTTTCCACTTAATTTAATCATAAAATATATCTGAGCCCCAGATGCTTTCTATCTCCAATTATATTTAGCTTAAAGATAATGGATTGTTCAATAATATTGTGCAATTATCTAAGATTTATTTGTTATTGATAGAATCTACAACGGATATAATCGAATTTTTAATTCCATGATTGCTTTTAATTAATGTATTAGTTATTGAAGCTTTTCCTTAATTCTCAATTACACCAATACTACCAGAGTAAGCGTAGTTTTGCTCAAAGACAGATTAATCAATATTAATTTAGCTATCATAGTGAACGAAAAATATACCTCCATCAACAGCAAAGTTTTTTACAAATGTACAGTTTATTACCTAGACCTCAGCTTATTAATAATCACCTAATACAATACTTCCTCTTGACACAGAAAATGTTTTTTCAAAATATGAATTTGTGATAACAGCTTTAGAATTTATTTTAACATTGATCAAAGCATCAATTATTGGGAAATTTATAGAAAAACTGCTTTTGTCAATTATTAAAACACACGGCAAATCTAATCTTGATGTTTCAACAGCTTGTAATTAAATGGTAGCTTAAAAATTATGAATAAAGCTAGTATTTCTAATAATAGTTGGTGTTAGTGAGTTCTGATTGCATTCGATTAATTAGCCACCAGCCAAAAAACTATTGTTCTAGAATAAGCTATTTTCGATCTATATCTGTGCATTATTTTCATTAATAAAATTTTCAAATATCAAAAGCGATCCTTCTTTTACAAATAAGTTATTTATGAATTTGCAATTTTGAATCAAAAGCAAAAATAGATTTGATTTATCTGTAATGCCTACGTCCTTGAAGCCTCTAAAACTGAAAAAATCAATCTAGCTATTCTCTATTGTTAAGTTCTATAGCAAGCTGTTCTCATGATTATTATTCATTAAGCTTATCTCATCTACTCTGATAATTTAAGAGCCAGTTTTAAAATCATCTAGGTACTAAAAATTTCTAAATGTTGTGTTGATCATCTAGAAACTCTGACTTTTTAAATTTCGAAAGTAACTTGTCATTGAGTTAAGTTCTATATATTCATGAATTTAACAAAAAATTTACTCTCATCCTGAAATACTGAATTAGTGACTATTACTTTTTTTATCAGTGTATCTTATTAAAACACTATTTTAAGCATTATTATTTTCATCAATAGTTTACCTTGATTTGAATAGAGAGTATTGTTCATAAAAAAGAAATTATTAAATGCCTAGGTTGCTGTTGGGGGATTGGCTGAGCTTTTAATCACGCACTAAACATTATTGTTTGGGTCCACTATAAAATAGGTAAATATAAGGCATTAGTCAAGAATATTCTTACTTGTATTGTTTATCATAACTATGTTATTCATTATTGTATTTTGAAAATTCAAGGAACATATTACAATTCTTGATTAAGTCCAAGAATTAATGATTTTAATGGAATCAACATTTAAAGTTTGAGATCCAACAAAAATTATATGAAAAGCATTTAAGGGCCCAAGCGTTACATTATTTTAGGTGATATTTCGAGCAGTTTAATTTACGGTATTTCCTGTGCTTAGAGATAAGATAGTAATTTAAGAACTTAAGTGCTCAACTGTAAGATTTTCGCATATGCATGCAATGTTTCTCTTTCCTAAGTCTGATCTTTAAGTGCATACTATAGCGTATTATAATGAAGGATCTCTAATCCTTGCATCAGATGAAATGTAATTATTTGCAAACTATATAGTTCTTGTCAAGTTGTCTTTATTTATCGGGCATAGTGAAGAAGAATCTATAGCAACTTATTGTTTGTTTGCATCTATCTATGTTGAAAATGATCTGAAAGTACTATATTCAAGAGTCACGTTTTTCAATGTTTATAGTTAGATATGTGGTAAGGCAACGTTTAAATATCTCTAACCTTTAGAAGTGAAATTTCTGAATAAGATGTTTCCTGACACAGAACTATTAGGAATGAGTGTGCAATCTTCAGTTATGATTATACCTTCACTCATCCAATCTGTGATCATAGTTGTATTAATTAGTTTTAGATTCGTGGGAGTTTAAGATCTTAATATTTTACCATATAATGAAAATGTCACACCCTAAAATTTATTTATATGAGAGATGATAATTACATAAAAGTTTATGCTTTTTGATTATATATCCCATAAGTATAGAAATCTCTTCCCTTCATTAATTATTGATAACTCATCTATTAATTAGAATAAAACGAAAAATTAGAATACTTTAAAATTGCAAATTAGCAAACGTAACATGGCTTCTAATTATTGCAATTTCAGATTTTAAGCTTAGCATTTACAAATCTTACTAGCTTAACTCTTATGTGGAGATTTTCATTGCTATGTTATAATCCTCTTCAATAATAGAAAATCTAGTGGAAGTTGATTTTTTAAAGACTGCATTTGATTAAATGAAAAGAGTTGCCTCAGTCAGTTATTATTATTATTATTAAAAAATTTGAGTGATGGTTTCATTCAGATCCTAATATGTCCTAAAAGTTGAAATTTTAGAAAATTCTAATTTACATTATTGTAAGATTAATGGCATTTAGAACGAGTTATTGATTGAAAAGAGTTTGAATATAGTCAGTTGTGTTACCTTTTTGCATAATCTAATAGCTTTGAGTTTGACCAGGTAAATAATTGAACAATTCAATTAAAGGCAGTCTGATGGTTTTATAAGGATACTATTAAGTACCTAATTCTAAATAAGAAATAGAAGTAGGGTCAACGAAAATCTTTCGTTCTATATTTTAAGTTAGTATAATGTAATAATTCCAAATCTGAGTCGTATGAATTACTTACATCTGCAATATTTGAATGAAGATTTTAGAGTTTCATGATATGAAATAGAGATTTGATCTTCAGTGTTTTTATCACATGATTCTAGACATTGAAACGTAAGAAGACTTAAATATTTATTTTCAGGGCACTTCAAGCAAATATTTTTATCTGCGCAAAAGGACATACCTAAGTTGCATTGACATGCTAAAATGTATTATTTTCAATTACTTTACAAGTGCATTTGCCATTTTAATCAAGAAACTGTTGGGTTGGACAAAATTCACATTTTGCGTTCTGAGTTGGAAATAGTTGATTATTGATGCAATTTTCGCATGTTTAACTTGTATTGCAATTTTCACAATTGAGGTAACAATCTAAAGTAGTCTAAAAATATGTATATATACCTTAACAAGATTGCGTTGATGTATTATAAAACTGGCCTCAACCACAAATCTGAAGCTAACTTGATTCAGTTATGAACGTTGTTATAGAAATAATTTCCAGGAAAATCATCCATTAGTAAAATTTTTACATGTGTAGAGATCTTTGATAGTGATGGTTTGAAGAATTAAAATTAATTAAGTATTTTTATTTATAAAATATAATATGACAAATCAGTAAAAAGGAGAAATATAATTAGAATTAATCATTAGGAATAGCTTACTAAATAACTTTTTTATTTTCTGAGTTACTATCTTTTCTAAACTTATCAACCACTGGGGTTTTGGGGTTTTGGGG